AGGTTTAAGGCAGGGGTGTCCAACCTTTCACCTTCCCTGGGCCACATTAGAAGATGAAAATTTGGTTTGGGCCGCACATACATTTGGTTTGGGCCGCATGGGGGGGCAGCCCTAGCCATCCTCCGCAGCCCCGCTCCAAGTGCACTTACTGGCAGCTGCAATCTCAGACAGCAGAGGCTGCCAGCTTCGACTCCAGCGACTGTATGGGGCCACCTATTGAGGGACGGCGCAATGCAGTCACGCAGCTCCCCTGTCCACTCCCCTCCCACTCCTCCCTTCCTCCCCTCTCTCCCCCTCTACTGTTGTAACATGCCCGGCCACATTCCGGCCGCAAGTGCCGGCAGTGTATCTTGAAACTTCGGAATTTCTTTAAAAATAAAAAATTGCACTGGGCCGCATTACAAGCGGGTTGGACAAGCCTGGTTTAAGGCTTCTTATACTCCTGCATGTTCCCAGCAAGTATTTAGTGTTACATCTGAACATAAATAATGCCTTCCAATTTTATGTATACTGTACCTATTAAGACATCTGTCATAAAAGCCTTTGTAAATGCTATTTTCAAGACATCCCCCTCCAAGTTTTTGTTCTTTCCTTTTTTTAACTGGCATTCTACCTTTTTTTTAACATAGCACCTACACAGCATTGGCTTAAATCTCATCACTAACCCCAGAGTAGAAACTTTGAATCAACTGCTGAATCCTGAGTCAACACTTACATGCTACTCATTTAATGAGTTAGTTAGGCATCCTTCAGTCTCGGAAGACTATGGATAACGTGCTCTGTATGGAGGACTTGGAACAGCGTCTAGTGTGGCTGAAGAGGCCAATTTGAGAGTGACAATCCCTTCTACACTGAAGACAAATCAAATCTGTCCCCTGTCCAGCTCCCTGGTTTTGCTGCTTTTGTGACTTCCTCTTTGCCTCAGCCTGCTGGACAAGGGTCTCTTCAAATTGGAAGAGGCCGTGATAGTCAGGAATACTAACAGTCTCTGGTCATTTCATCTTCTGTCACAAGAATTACAGTTCAAACCCAATGCTAAAGAATTCTATGCATTTTCCCTTTTATCTTCTTCCTGCAATAGAGCTGCTTTCTCTCAGACAATGGTACAGTAGAGGTATAGTTACCAAAATGCCAGGTGTACACTAGACTGTCATTAGAAGACAAAGATACTGATTAAACTTGTTTTCCTTTCTCATTCCTACAGGTTCACTGAAAAGGGGCCCACACTCCTATGTGATGGCCTCTAATTAGTTGTCGTTAAGTACCAGCCAACAAGAAAATAAAACATGTTTATTCAAAGTTTCTAAACAATCAAGTTGCAACGCTACATTTGCTATTAGAGAGAAGCTACTTCACTCACACACTTCACTCACATTGGTGTAGATTCAGGTTTCCTTCTACCTAAAGCAGGGGTCTCAAATTCAATTTGCCTGGGGGCCGCTGGAAGCAGAGTCTGAGTGAGGCTGGGCCACATCAGATTTCCCACCAGGCAGAGCAAGAGCCCAAGGAAGCCGCCCAGGAGTTTACTTAGCCTGGCTGGGGCTCCGAGGAGGATGAGGATAGGGACGTCGAGCCCTCGTCGCCGGCCACGACCCCCTCTGGCTCCTTCTTCACTACCACCACCACCACCAGCAGAACGAAGAAGCAGAGAAGGGAGGGAGCGCTGGTGACCGCCTAGCGGGGGGGAGGAGGTCACGACATAATATTTTTTTAAAACCCTCACAGAATCGCTTTGCCAAAGGAGAAAAGCCCCCATCGGTACCCGTGAAATTAAACAGAATGGGGCGGGTTCCCCCACAGGTGCACGGGGGGGTGCGCGCATGCACACAAAGACACACACACAGAGGTCCGCCAACCTTCCTCTGAGGGCCTCCTTCAAAAAAAGGCACACTCAGCAGCAGCTACCCCCACGATGACAGAGGAGCAAACTTTAGGAGGCAAGCCCAGGCAGCCTCCAGAGCCGAGGCAGCTGAAGCAGGGCGAAGAGGAGGAGGAAGCACCACTGGGCGCTGAGGCGGTCGCTGGCTGGGCTGGTGCTGGGGGTGCCGAGAGAGAAAGAGAGCCAGAGAGCTGCTTCCCTGGAGGAGGAGGAGGCGGCAGCTGCTGTTGGCAGCTTGGCTCGGGCGCTCAGGGAAAAGGGCCGGCAGCGCGCCTCGCTTGCTGGCCCTCCTCCAAGACAGTGCCCCCTCCATCCGGAATTGCAGCCTGCCAGTCGGCAGAGAGACAGTCTGGCTGGCAGGCTGCAGTTCTAGATGGAGGGTGCAAGAGGCGCTGTCTTGGGGGAGAGCCGGAGAGCAAAGCTTGTCTGGGCGCTTCGGGGGGGCAGGCAAGGCGGGGGCCACAAACTATCATCCGGCAGGCTGCAAATGGCCAAATGTTTGAGATCCCTGACCTAGAGTGTTAAAAAGTAATCGTTTATATTGGCTGAGAAACAGACTTCGCCATACTTGGAAAACATTCATCTGAATCAGTTGGACAACTTAGTAATAACAACTAACCTAAGCATCATTTAGTTCAATTACTCTGCTTTACATATGATGAGCAGTGCTCTCTTAACTGGCCAAGATGGCCAAGGACCAGCTGACACAACACTGAGTCACCGGAATCTGTACTAAATGCAACCCATCCCAACTCAGGCATATCTTCACACAAGCCTAACTTTGTGCTGGCACTGCAGCTGTGACCTGGATCTGAATTAGTAATGCTCTTCTCCTGCCCTGTCCCCTTTCTGACTCTTCTGCCAGTAGATCTTAGCCAACAGAGCAGCTCCACTATCACATCTCCAATTCATTACAAATTAATTCTTAATGCTTCACTACAAAAGACAGCTTCAAAGCTGATGTTTACCTACACATTCCTCAACCCATATTATGAATGAAATCTACTGGAACTCACAAGCCTTTTTTGGGAGGAGGGGACTTTAAAAAAATCCTCCGAATATTACAAAATACAAACTGAAAATAAAAAGATGCCTGAAAAGTGGGAGTGAAAACTAAACTCAAAATTACAAGCAATGTCACAAAACAGACAAAGGTAACAAGAAATCACTTCCCTGCCCAATATGTTACAACATCTAAAAACGAAACAGCAAGAGAGGAAAGTGACAAACAAATTAGGCTTATCAGTAAGTACAACCTATGAATCTACTAGCAAGACATGGGCTTGCTTAACCATAGATGAGAAACAAGTCAAAGAAGGAAGCTCCCACTTATATCCTTCTCACAGCAAGAGTATATGTGAAGGAAAATAAGCAGGGGTGACATACACTACCCAACTCATCTAAACACTCAGCTGTTGCACTTGTTTCCGTTTAAAAACAAAAGGCAAGAATCTCACCATAGCCAATATACCATACATAGGTATACTTCCTCATTTCTCTCCTTCCTCCCAAGAACTCACCCTCAGCAGAAAACACAGTATAACAGGCACCTGATACACAGAAATCAACAAGGGGGATTTTTCATAGGATAGGACTAAATGTTATCACCTGCTACTCACTGCAGAACTGACTGCTGTTAAAGGGGTTAAGTCAAAATTTTGCAATCTTACTTTCAACTCATTCCTGCTGTTCAATAAATTGATAAAATCAATGCTTTTCATTACAGAAATCTTTGATCTGTGCTTAACAGCAAACAGTCTTGTGACATGTTAAACCCAGCAAGGAGAACTGAATGGTTCCTCCAGATATTAGTGGACTGGAACACCCAAGCAAGCACAGCCAAGGGTGAGGGATCCATAGGGTCCTTTCCAGCTCTGCAGTTCTCAGATCCTAAGATGATGGGAACTACAGTCTAGCATTAGAACAATGCTTCCCAACCTTGGGTAACTTTGGACTGCAACTCCCAGAAGCCTGCACCACTAGCTGTGCTGGCTGGGGTTTTCTAAGAGTTGCAGTCCAAGAATACATGGGTTATCCAAGGTTGTGAACCAATGATCTATTCTAAAGGACCATCCTTCCCTGTACCTGTTTTAAGTGCTATGGGATAGCCTTGCTTGGACCTGAACCTATTTCTTCAAATATATGGTATACCACTATTGGCTGAATAGTCAGTATGGTACATATAGTCATGGACAGTGGCAGTCGTGATGGACTAGGGCACAGGAGGCCTGTGCTCAAATCCCTGCTCAGCCATGGAAACAGACAGGGGGTGTGGAACTGGCAAATCCACGCCTTAAATATATATCACTCGTATCCCTATTAAATCACTTCCAACTTAACAACAGCACAGAACTAGCAGTTGCCAAAGTATAAGTAAACAGGCAAACAAAGAGTTTGTGAAAAAACAAAAAATACATGGATTGCCATGAAACTCAAGAAGCAGAGCTGTTCTTAAGACCTCGAATCGCAACAGTATTTAATTGGTGAAAATATATACTGTATACACAGTACAGCTAGAGAGAACACGCACAAGACACACCACCGCATACCTATAGAGTCATGAACATTTCCCGCCCCCCAACAGCTCCTGCTGGGAATGGTGGTGGGAGCTCATCACTTGGGGGGGGGTTAGAGGGGTGGGCACGAGGAAAGCGAAGCCCGGCTGATCGTTCCCGGGCAACCCCCCCTCCCCAGCAACGTGGCCGTGGAGCCCACGCTGAACATCCGGGTGGGGGGGGGCGTGTACGGAACGACCCCACTCGGACCCCGACTCCTCGTCCCGCCCCGGCCCGCCCGTCTCTTGGCTTCT